TTCGGACACTTGGGCAGGGGGTCTGGACTACGGTGGTGTGGGTCCGACCCAAGCGTGGCCAAGAACATGCCACAGCGACAGAGAGACAGAGCACGCACTCGCACGACTTCGGACCACGTGGGGATGTCGCCTCGGACCGAGCGGCGCGGGTCCGGGTCGGGTTCATCACGCGCGTAGGGAAGCCAAGGGACGCGTGGTGGCCTCGAGTTCGCGAGTAGGAGTGTCGGACCATTGTGCTCGGTTCAGACCAGGAGGGGATTTTCGTCTCCGGAGCCTCTCTGGACTCCTCAGGACCTAGAGTTGAGTTGGTCTGTTCTAAGTCCGGTTGTATGGTCCGGATCTACTGGGCACGGTTTTGCTCATCGCTGGGATCTAAGGGTAGTGGTTGAATGGGTGACATGTGGCGACATCTTAGGGTCTGTACCTTTACTGTAGATGGTCCGGAACCTTGGTCCGGAGCCTCGGTCCAAACCTCTGAAAGGTTCTTGTTTGGTTTTGATAATTGAATGACAACCTAAGTGAACTAATGTGTTTAAATGTGAGATACACATGTGATTAGTTCACAAGTACACTTGTGTGAGCAACTCATGCCATGACGGTGAAGATGGCTTGGATTTGTTGCGAGGCTCACACATGTGATAAAGTAGCTCATTGCATATGAGACATGCATTGAGTCATGTGACTAAGGTGGAGAAGATCAAGACAAGACTTGGTTTGATGGACCGGTTGCAAGCGTCAAGGGCAAGTTAGAGGCTTTGGAGCGATGGACCACGTGGCGTTAAAGGTTGAGCAAGACTTGACGCCTATGGACGAAGAAAACAGAGAAAAGCAAGTGAGGTCAAAATCGATAAACCAATACGGTCACTTGATGATATGAAGTGGATCATATCATTTGAGATTGGTTGGTGCATGTGTTGCATCAACATTGGAGGAGATGGAATAGAATACGCAAAGAAAAAGTATAACCTATAGGGTATTTTATTTCACTGGTCATAGGTATGTAGAGAAGTTTATGACCGAGTTTAGGATAGATGGTCGTACTATCAAGAGGGGCAAACTTGTTTGCATATCGATCATCTTGTGCCATTCGAATGATCTAACTTTGCATCATTGTTAGGATCGAGTGGCGTGGTGAACTGAGTGCTAATCCTTTGGAAAATATTTGTGAAAAGCTAACACACATGCACAAGATGGTGGACACTTGGTGGCGTTGACACATTTGCGAAGAAAAAATTGTTGGGGTTAATTTGGATCAACTTGGTGAAGAAAAGGAGAAGAAAAGAGCAAGTTTAGTTTGTCCGAGGGTCGATAAACACAACCAAACTTGTAGCTAATGCATTGCCTAGCCTGGGGGTGGCAACGTCCTCTCTAATGTACCCTAGGTAAGGTGCACTGTCACCCTCTGCAACGTGCCCAAATCAACACGACCACCCTTTCGTATTTTAGGCATAACTCTTAGCTCCGAACTTCGATTTTAATGATCTAGGATTTTTTAGAAAGCTGATGAAATGCTCTACAAGCTTGAGGTGGTAGAAATCAAGTTTGAGCTGAAGGTGGCACCGCCATGATCACTGGACTGTCCGGTGCCTAGCACCGCCATATTTTTCTAGAGATGGGCGAAAATGCGTTTTGGGTGCCATAGGGGCATCGCCACCCCTAGGGCGGTGCACTGCCCTCCCTTGTTTGGTGCCAAGTTTGCCAACGGGTAGTTCAAATTAGCCGTTGCAATTCGACCATTGGGGCACCACCACCCCTTGTCCGGTGCTCGCACGTTGCTGTCTGGTGACCGCACAGAAATGTGTTCCAAGGCTCCAATGGCTCTATTTGGCTTAGAGGCTATAAATAGAGGTGGAGCTCGGTCTTGGCTAAGGCTGAGCACCCTTAAGGCTTGGTGGCTTGTGTTGGTGTGCTTGGGAACCCTCTAACTCACATACGCTTGATAGTGATCATCCGATTGAGTGTGGGTGTGATTCTAGTGTGATTGCATCGTGCGGTTGCATCGAGTGGCACTACATGATCGAGTTGCAAGCCAGTGAAGCTTGTTACTCTTGGAAGTTGCTACCTCCTAGATAGTTTGGTGGTGGTCTCCGTCAAAGCACGCAAAGAAGATTGTGCGGTGCTCCGGAGAAGTGGTTGTGAGGGGTGTTGTGCTTGCCCCGCGGGAGCCGCGAAGAGCAACTCTAGTTGAGCATGTCATTGAGCTACCCTCACTTGGTTCATGGGGTTCTTGCGGAGCCCAACGTGTGGGCTTAGCGTGGTTTCAATTAGCCACCGAGTCACCAAGTAAACGGTTGACACAACGGGGACTAGCGTGTTGGCAAGCATGTGAACCTCGCGATAAAAATCACTGTGTCATCATCTTTCCGTTGGTTTGTGATCCCCATACACAAGCTTGTATTTACTTTTCATACATTGTGCTTGTGTAGTTGCTTTTGTAATTAGTTAGCTTGTGTAGTTTGCTAGTTACCTTCTTGCTTGTGTAACATAGAAGTAACTCCGTTGCGTGACTAATTTCGTTTGAGTAACCTTATTAGTTACATTGCTTAGTTTGTGTAGCTAAGTAATTTGCGCTCTCTAATTTGGCCTTAGTTGCCTTGTTATTGAACATTGCTAGTAAGTTTAGACTTTGTGCTTTTGCATACTAGTTGTGTAGGAGCTCCCCCGTGCTTGAAATACTAGCGGCATATATTTGTGTAACCTTGCTCCTAGAATTGGTTAGGTGAACTCTAGCTAGCCCGACACCTTTGTTGCCTAATTAGGATCTTTATAAGGTGCTTGTGAACTTAGATAGAGGGGCGTAGTCTTGGCTAGACAAATAATTTTAATTTTGCATTTATTTCGGTTAGCTAGTGCAATTAAATTTAGAAAGGACTATTTACCCTCCTCTAGTCCACCATCTCAATCCTACAACCTCTCTGATGGACTAATGGCTATAACTTTTCGGGGGCTCTATAAATAGAGCTTGGACATGTTTGGCTCACTCTCTTAGTTATTCTTACATGTGATAGCGTCCTTTGAGCTGAGCAATCACCCTCCCACTCATCTCATTGTTTGATAGTGCAAATCAAAGTGAGATTGAGTGATTCCAAGTGTATTTGCTTGAGTGATTGCATCTAGTGACACTTGTGGATCGATTTGCTACGGTTTTCTTGTTACTCTTGGCGTTTGCCGATGCTTAGACGGCTTGGAGCAGTAGTGGAGGTTCGGCACATGTTGGTGATTATTCGTGGCCGACTCCGGTGATTTTGTGAGGTGTTCTTGCACCTATTTCCCGCGGGTGATCGCAGAAGGTGACTCTAGTGGATTGCTCGTAGCTTGTGGATCCCCATCTTGTGTTGGTTGTGCGGCACCCAGTTACGGTTAGGCGTGTGATGCCTATTAGCGCGTGAACCTCCATATGGGTGAATCGCTACAACGGGAACATAGCAAGCAAGTGAACCTCGGAGGAAAAATCATGGTGTCATCTTGTTTCCGAGATATTCATTGTGATTGATTGATCGTCACTTATCATGGCGGTATAACCCTCACTACCTCTCTTATACCTACTTTTCATATACTTGTTTAGTCAAGCTCTTTAGTGTAGCTAGTTTTGAGAGCTTGTTAGTTTGGTTAGTAAGGCTCTTTAGTTAGTCTTTGAGAGCTCACTAACTTAGAGATAGTGACCTAGCCATTATGTGATATAGTGATTATAGCAACTAGAATTGTGGATATGTGGCTTGTATTTTTTGTAGGCTAGTGCAACACTCACTTCGCCACTTAACTATCCAACCACTTGGCTTAAGTGCTGTTGTAGAATTTTTTATAGACTATTCACCCCCTTCTAGCCATTTAGGATATTTCACAGCCGCACCCTCTCCGTGCCGTGTCGTTGTCCCTAAGAGGGCAAACACATCCTCCGACATGTGTTGGGCCTACAGTGGGAGATGGTCCTTGAGGCCTTCCCCAATGTACCACGGTGGTGTGCTACCTCAGTGTCCACCTTAGCTCCAGACTTCCATGTCATATGAAATTATAGTCTCACAGAGTGTTAGGTTGTCTTGTAGAAGAGACCATCGCCTCATCTAACAAAAGTCAGAAGCAACAACTAGGGAGTGTGTTGTGGTGGGAGTAGTGGCTTTAGACTGGTAGGACCATGTCTAGTTCTTGCGTTTCGCTCCAAACTTTCTCTGGATAAAACTGAGCAGTGTGCAGACGTGGGGCCCTGAAATGACAACACATATATGGTTTGCGTTGAGTGAACAGTGGTTTTAACTCATCGGGCATGTGCGGAAGGCGATTTTTTTTTTTTTTTTTTTTTTGCTAGGGCTAACACTGCTATATGCCCGCGTTGGTATTGGTCTAAGAGAGCAAACGCATCTTCCGACGCTTGTTAGGCTTGCAGTGGGATATGGACATGGGAGAATCTAATATTTTTAGCTCCGACGCTCGTTCTTCCCTTACGAGTGTAGGTTCTAAAAAGCTTCTCAAGTCTATTTTATTTTACACCATTCGGCGCAAAACAACTTCGGGAGCTGGCGATGGAGGTGAGTAGATGTGGCCTAGCTGTGGGTGTCCTGAGATATCGTTGTCTCGCCACTTCAGCTAATCGCCACGAGTTAGGCCTTCTTAACAGCACAAGTAAAACCATCCCATGGAAAAAAAAGTCGCTTTCCGTTCGTTTTCTTTTCGTGGGAAGGCAAAGCCGAGCCAAAGCCAGCGCCGCCGCCCCCACACCCTACTCCCTCGCCGCCGCCGTCCCATGGGCTGCGTAGGATCTACCCCGGCCACCAAAGATGCCGGAGGAAGTAGCGGTAAGAGCTCACGATCCCGATCCCCAAGTTCTTTGCTTCGCTAGGCGAATCCGTGCGGTTGGAATCGGGGTTTTCTTGGGGAACTACGGTTCTTCGGTCTCAGGATTTCTAGGTCTCTTGCGAGGTTGCGATCTTGGGAGGGCTTTGTGCGGCGCAATGCGGTACTGGTTGGGGTGAAGGGAATTGCGACCGATCGTGTGGTTGGAAGGGATGGGGTCCTGGGTGGATTCCTTTAGTTCCAGTTGGGTCAGATTATCAATTCGAGGTCTTTGTAATTTTGTGAAGTCTTGGGGTGATAAGAGTGATGCCGTTGCGGGGGGCCCTATTATTGGTGGAATTGAATGGTTAAGGATCAAGTCGCCTGCAATTGATGTCTTGGTTTCCTGGTTGGTAGCTCGAATGAATTGCCAGAAGGTCGTCTTTCTTGGAGCCGTAGTGATTTGTGGAATCCTTTGTTCTCTAGTTATAGACATTTCAGTTTGTGAGGAAACATTCATGTGAATGTGAGGAACTGAGGATGGGCTGTGGGGCTTGTACTGCTCCTGTAATGGCAATAGCAGAGTGTTCCTTCTGAAATATCTAAGTGCCACAGAAGCCTGAATTGGACCTGCGTTTTGCTTTTGCATATTTTTACTGTTTACATTGCATAGAATTGTACTTTTGTGGGTTCAACTGAGTAGCTTATTTTCTGAATCATAATGGTCAATGTTTATTGAGGAATATTGTTCAAGCATTGCATTTGCATCTTGTTCTCAGCCATATACCCGTTGCCCTCTTGGTTTCTGGATAATCAGCTGCTTAGGTCACGCAATCACTAAAATTAGCTAATTGATATCAAGAATTGGCAGGAAGATAAACTTGCTAGTTGCCCTAGAAGATGCATATATTTGTGTTAACTAGACTACATAGTAAGGAGGTAGTTACCTAGCACAAAGAATAATGGTAGGAACTATAAAGGTTAAATCTAAAGACTAGCATTTTTTTCCTTTAATTAAAATGTGTGCAAGGGAATCACTGAATTGTTTACTCTCAATTTTATGTATAAGCATGTTCCTGCCTTGTATAGTGTTCTTTCACAGCAGTACTATCACTGTCATAACACTTTTACTGATTTACTACGATACTGATTTAACTTTGAAGATTCTACATGCTTAATTAACTAATATGATTTTTATTTTATAATATGCAGATGGCAATCATGGCACTAAGAAAGTGAGGAAGCCCAAAGCTTGGAAGCATCCCCAACCGATAACCATGGCCCAGCTCAGGCAGATGCGTGAGGAGTTTTGGGACACCGCTCCTCACTATGGTGGTCAGAAAGGTATTCTCATCTTTGGTTTTGTTCACTTGTCTTAAGCATATTGTTTGGTTTGTATAAGTTGAGCTAATTCATCTTCCTTTTATCTGCTTGGATACATAATTGCTTATATTTCTAATTGCACTCTTCTTACTCCTTGCACTAACCATTTTAAACCTTGTACAGAAATTTGGGATGCCCTTCGTGTTGCATCAGAATCTGAGGTATCCCATGCACAGGCTGTTGTGGAAAGTGCAGGCATAATTGTTTCTAATGCTGATCTGACTCTCTGCTATGATGAAAGGGGTGCGGCTTTTCTGCTTGACTCTTTTCCTTTCTGTTATCCTTTCACATTTGTTCATTTTTTTAATAGATCTGTTTTAACATTCCAGGTGCTAAGTATGAACTACCCAAGTATGTTTTGAGCGAACCAACCAACCTTATTCGAGACAGCTGAACGGCAGCCGTAGGAAGACCTACCGATGTAAAAACTGTAAATGACTGCAGATGCCAAATTAATCCCTTGCTTGAGTGTCCTGGTAACTGGAGCGCGCTTTAGTAACTTTCACCTTGCTTTGGCAACTTTCGGCAACAGGGTTTTCTACTGTTATTCGTAGCATACAGTGAACTCTTCCACTTCTAGTGTCCAGATAAAGCTTTTCGGTACCCTCGTCTATTGTTCTTGGTTCTGCTCTAAACATGAGTCTGCTTAGAATTCTTTGGAGTGAGAATGCTGCTTAGATTGTTCTCGTCCATTATCATGATACAAGTTGGAGCATACATTTTAGAAACATGTCACATCTCGTGCAATGAATTATATTACTTCCAGATTTAAATTTGTCTTGTAGAGTTAGCGGTTATTATCTGGTCTGAAATTGCAAATGAAATGCATTATAAGGAGTGAAAGCATCTAGGCTCCTAGTTAGGTTTCGGTGATTAATGACGACACGAGATTACTGTGACTAACGTGTGTTTTGCAGAGGCAACTTGAGTTAGGTCATGGTAATGGTAATTGATTGGGCAATTATAATTTTTGTGCCCCTATTGAAATCGTTTCGGTTTTCAAATGATGGACGACAAGGTTAAGGACGGACTAGTTCTAAATGTCGTTCGGCGTTGGAGAGACACTTAGTTTTAGGACCTTGTTTTTCCTTTGGCTATACTATTAAGGGGGTATGGACTAGTAGCTTGACCTAAGTGAGACTAATGGTTTAGGTGTGGTGCACATTTGTCAAACTTAGCACTAGGTAGCTCAAGGACAGTCCACAGGTCAATTGAAGTCGATGTTGTTCAGAAAAGTTGTCGAATTTGAGGTGAATGGAGACTTGGACATAGACCAGATGCTGGACCGGACGCGCATGCGTCCGGTCAGCTGTATAGCGCGCTGCAGGGGCAGAAGGATGACCGGACGCTGGCTCCCAATCAGCACCGGACGCGTAGGTCCTGACCAGCTATAGCAGCGTGAACCCGCTGTTGACTAAGGACCAGACGCAGGAACAAAATGTGACCGGACGCACAAGCTGCCAAGTCCAGTCAACATCAGAGAGTGTCCGGAGACGATTTTTGTTGACCTGACGCGTCAGGTGGATAGGGAGTCCGATCACACTAACGGTCATATTTCGGCGTTGGCTAGTGGAGTACTGACCGGACGCATCCGGTCACATCGACCGGTGCGTCCGTTCGCCCCGAAAACTGCTGAGTTGGACAGTAACGGTCATGTTTTGATTGGGGGAGTATAAATACTTCTACTCGTCTAACTTAGTTCTCTTGCCCATTTGTTCAGCTGAGAAACACCTTTGATGTGCAAGGGAGAGCAAGAGCCTAGTGGGGTGATTGAGATTTGTTAATCCAAGATTAAGGAAATCATTAGTGTATAGGGAATAGCAAGTGTGTATTCACTTTTCTCATTAGGCTTGTCTTGGTTAAGTGAGAGTTTGTGCTTGTTACTCTTGGTGATCGTCATCACCTAGATGGCTCGGTGGTGATTGGAAGCTTGATGATCATCCGGCGGAGCCTATGGATGACCTAAGTCATGGTGTGAGCGGTTGTGGGCGATTCACCGCGACAGAGTGTCGAAGAATTAGTCCGTAAAGAGCGCTTGATCCTTGCGCGGATCAAGAGTGAGCTACACCCTTGCACGGGTGCTCTAACGAGAACTAGTGGGGAGTGGTGACTCTCCGATACCTCGGAAAAAAATCGCCGCGTTCCTCTCCTTCTGTTTACTTTGAACATTTACATTTGAGCAATTCAATTTATGTCCTTACATTCTTAGGGTTGCTATGCTAGAGTGAGATTGGAACCTAGGGTGCAAAACTCTTGTGTAATAGAACAATAGAAACACCTCTAGGCAAAAGGGAGTGAAATAGGCTAAGTGTAGAGCTTAATTATTGCAAGAAATTTAGAATTAGTCCAATTCACCTCTCTTGGGCATCTTTATCCTTTTAAGGAGCAAATCACAATCTTGTTTTACATTATTGCAACATATCTGATGATACTGGAGTTTTGTGAAACCTAGTACAACGTGGCAGTGCTAGCAAGTCTGGGATCTTACAGGCTGAAGAGATTCAGTGCCTAATGCTGATTCGTCTAGTGGTAATGTGGCGTGGAGTCTGAGAAGAGCCTGAACCGGCTGAATGCCTCCATCGCCAGCAGCTCCAGATCCATCCCTCCGTCTTCGTTGGCGGCGTCATTGGGGTTCCTCCTCTCGCAGAGCGCAAACCGGCACACCGGGCAGTTGCCGTGCCCCTTCACCCAGGGGGCGATGCACCCCTGGTGGAACATGTGGTTGCAGGGCGTGATCGCCACCTGCTCTCCGGGCAGGAATGTCTCCAGGCATACGGTGCAGGCCTTCTCCTCTTCGGTGGTTGCCGGTGGTGTTGCACTCCTGGTCCGGAGGATGCCTCTGGCGCCACCGCTGCTGCCTTGCTTCTTCTGCAGATCCGGTGGCCTGTATTCCTGCTTCCTGAGCTGATCCATGGCCTCCCTGAATGGTGTGTATGGCTGCAAAGGGTGCCTGAGCACAGCATCAGTTGGCCAGATGCTACTGGTGATGATAGTGTCAAGTGTCTAAAATTTAATGCAACAGAAGCTCCGATTGAGAAGGCTTGAACTGTACCAGGAACTGGAACGCTCGAAAGGTAGTCTTCTGAACCTCTGCTCCAGAAGCCTCCCAGGGTAATCCTGGATCAAAATCCAAAAGTATAGCTTTGAACTTGCAAAAATGAACAGTTAAAACTGATGAAAGTATCTCATGATCAGAAGTGTGCAAAGATGAGAAAAAACAGAGTTGCTATGGATGTATGGTACGGTACCCCATGATGCAGAGGCCAAGGGGACCTCCTCCTCCTGGATGGCAACTGATGGTACAAGGCGTACTGAAGCTCACGAGGCACGGGGCCGTACTCCGGCCCGTAGCTCCCATCAGGCCGCCGGCCGTTAGTCATCTCGCCACTCCAGCGACCACCGGAGAGCTCTTCGAGGGCGATGACTGATGAGTTCTTTGAGGGTGTCGGTATGTTATAATCCGTACTTTTTAGCTTGTTTTTCAGTCGGAATAGTGTTTTTCTCTCACGACAAATCAACCGGAACAGTGTTTCGTTTTGATTTTTCAGCGAAGCGAACGGGGCTGACCACTCACCAAGTGGAATCAAGAATCAGGTACTTTGCTGCTGATGGCCACAGACACAGAGGCTGGGGTTGGGCATCAGGTTCTCCAAATCTCTCAGATCAGGCATTGTTCTTGGATTTTTTTTTGGGCACGAGGCTGAATGATATATTGCAGCACAGACAAATGGGGAGCATGTTCAGATTACTCAGAGAAGGGACATCCCTACAATTTCAAATGCACCATTCCATTTCACATGAGCCGCTGCACTACTGGGTTTCATTCGGTTAGGTTTGTTTGAGAATTGAATCATCAGGTTTTATTCAGTTTTCTAATGCTGACGGAAGATTCATGCCGAGGGATCCAGCTCCAAGATTGCTCGCCAGGTGGAATTAATAAGAATTTTCAACTTGAATGCACACATAAAGTGAGCATCAGATTCTCCTTCCTGCCACTCATGGTTACAAAAAAAACAGTTGCCGCAGCGGCAGCGAGTTGAGGTAGGCTAAAGACGAAAAATCCATAAGAGTCACTCACCTCATTCCTATCATGTGATATTGTGCTTAGAGCGAGCATAAAAACACAGATTTCTGAAGTTCTCATATTGCAGAAGATTATAGGATGGTTATCTGAAGATGTGCAATGTACATTTCCTACAACGAAATGCACTGACGACATTCTGCCGTGGCAGAAAATCATCTCTACATTTGTTAGGAAAAAAATTCATACAAAGTGATGACACTTGGCTTAGTTGACTTAAACTGGAAACTAGAGACCACCGAAAACATGCTCCAAAATTCATCTGAAACCAACCTATGCAGCTAGCCTCCCTTCGGAGCTGTTGCAGCTAGAATCTCTTCAGTCCTATGCACCAAAATCGAATCATGGAACCCTTTTGATCCTTGAATTATATCCCACTTCTGCTTGCGGAGAACTGCACACCACATAACTTCTTCAACCTTCCTGCTTCCTATGCATCGTACTTGCAAAGGTTCTCAAACCCCATGTACTCGTGTCGTGCAATCTTGTGAACCATGTTAGAGACGCCAACCCCACCTACAGGTTGAAAAGAGGATTGCTTAGGTAACGTGGTTCAGAGAGTGGGATTTGATCAATTCCAATCAAGTGTAGAAGATGGTACCGAGAGAAATCGCGCTGGCGAAGATCATGAAAGCCAGTATGAAGATGATAAGCGACGCCCGCCCTAACCAGTTGATCAACTTCCTCACCACATGCTGGCCGATGAGGGCAGCAACAAACGCCACAACGGTGAAATAAACAGCTGAAGAAAAGGCCAAGGAATCAAGTCAAATATGTGTATCACTGTTATTAGAAGAGAAAAATTGCATGAACGTGGAAGAAACAGCTTATACCATAAGGCACTGGAAACCGGTTCAAGAGGTAGTATTCGACAACCGACATGGAAGATGAGAACATCATTGCAAAGGTAGCCGTAGCACTTGAAACCTATCATAGAATTAGATATGGAGGTGTTTCAGTGTCAATGCATGATTTGAGCAGACATTAAAACAGGAGTAGGGAAAGCAGTGTACCTGGGGAGGGATGCCAAGCTCCAAGAACAGTGGCCCCATAATGAAGCCACCTCCGAGACCTAGGAGTCCACCGACTAGTCCTGCAGCTATACCGAATAGACCGTATACAACTACCTGATGAAATTTCATGGTAGTTTGTTCACTTCCCTTTGATGATAACACCCTCTTCCCACTCATCAGCCCAAATCCTTCATACAGTGTCACTCCTACTGACACTGGAACCTATGTCCAACCAGCAGAAAGATTTAATCATGTTGTGTTCGATACATGGGTGTGTGGCCAATATTGTAGATTTGTAACCACACTATTCTTTTATATTCTAACATTTCATACCTGGAGAAGGTTCAAGACCCAGTACCATGGGGAGCAAGTAGCAGTGTAATTCTAAAAACATGAAAGGAAACAACATAGGTGTTAAAATATTCCTGTTGAGAAGGCCCAAGGAAACTGGAAACTATTGGAGACAAATGATACAAATTTACACAATAGCCACTGAATATTAGACGAGGCCGATGTCAACGTCTAAATTTTAGAATGTAACTTTCTGCAGAAATCCTGACCTTTGTGACCTGAAGAACAAGGAATGCCACCCACACAAATGAAAGAAGACCAACCTCCTTCCAGTGAATGTTCTTTATAAGTGATGGCTGAAACAGTGGAAACTTTCTAGATTAAAATCCTTATAACTACAGTTTCAAAAGAATGCAGCTGAGTATATATATGATCATTAGATGTTTACCGCTTCATCTGATGAGAGGATTTTTTTGTTTGCTGCCGCACCTGGTCCAGTAGGAAGTGGTGCATACTCTGCTTCCTCACCTGAACGGTTGAAAAAGGTAAGGAATAGATTATGCATTTGTGACAAATGAGCACATTTATTTCTTTCTCTTACCTGCAGTTTGCTCCAAACGTTTTGCAGCCTCCTGGAAGAAAAGAAGTTTATCACATTACTATATTGTAGGATGTGAAAAATATGTAAAACAAAGCCTCATTGTTAACAAAGGAGACAAGGAAGTCACAAAAGATTACCCTTTGGATTATTGTCTCTTTCTTCCATGTCTCAATGCCCTTCAGAAAGGCTTTTGTGGATGTGCCTATTATCAAATTTCAAAGTGTAAGGTCATTCATGAACAATAGATGAGGTATTTCATAGTTTTGGGAAGTGGTACAAGATAAGCACCTAGGAAAAGAATTATCAGGAGAACTGTGACCAGCCAGTCAGGAAATATGACATTAAAAATAACACCAATGCTGATCCCAAGCATTAGCATAGGCTGAATGAGCACAGCTAGGTCATAATCAATCACCGGCATGTCCAAAGTCGGATGTTTTAGCTTGAGATTATAGTAAACAGTTGAAACAGACGCTCCCATAATCATACCTGTCCCAAAGAGTAAAACATCTCAATAAAAGTAGTAAAAAATGATGATCTACAAATAAATGGTTTTGTTATATAATGTTGTTATATTTTGTATAGATGTATAGAAATTTGGTAAGAAGATTTTTCTTTGAATCGCACAGAAAATAATGTAAACCAGCCATACAAAGAACAGATAGATAATTAGGTATTAACAACAAAAGAGTTCCAAGTACTCATGTCTCTACACCTGACAATAACATAAAAAAATTAAGTTTGCAAGTGAAAGGCAATATCCAACAAGCAAGGTGCATGCATGCTTATGGGCAACACAGTACTCGTATGCTGGAGTAGTTTAGAACCCAATGCAGTATCCTTGTACCTCTCATCCATGTTTTATATTTCTATTCCCTTTGTACAGCTTTTGACCTTTATAGCTCCCTTTTCTATGCATGAGATGAGGTCTAAATTGTGCTGAAAATCAAGTATTACATCCAACAAAGGTAGAAAGATGATGAGGTCTACGTTGTGCTGAAAATTAAGTATTACTTCCAACAAAGGTAGAAAGATGTATTCTGTCGACACATGTATCTATTAATTACCAATCATCACAGGAACCTGCATGGCATAAAAAAACTACTGAAAAGAATAGCAGCAACTACTGCTTTCAGGATATAATAAAACGATCCTAATTAGCCAAAGGCTCGCTTTCCAGAAGTATACTACAACAGCAACAGGACAGAAAAAGATACCAGATGAAGACACATACTACTGCACACATGAATCAACCAACAAAGGAAAGAATACACTAAACAAGCTCTACAAATCGATTGTGGACAGCGAAACTGTTGCTTTCGGAGCATGCACACAAGAGGAAGGATCCACAGGAAGCAGTTAGATCCTCACACTTTGATATCGCAGTAGATGATTTTGGGTCAAACCCAATGATGAGTGTCAGCATCGGCACAAAGATCCCGCCGCCACCAACTCCGCCAACGCTCCCGAATGCGGCACCGAAGAATCCGATCAGTGAGCCCAGCACAATTTGCCACCCAACATCCATTGGCTGTAGATAGCAACCAAACAAGATTCACCAAGTGAAAACATCATGTCTTAAAAGCAGTAAAGAATAACTTTTGACAAGTACAGGTCGGATCGGATCACGACAGTGCTGTAGGCCATCTCAAATTCAATAGAATATAGCTCAGTTAGTTCTGTCTGCATGACCCAAACTGGATTCCATGATAAATCCAGAGCAGATGAGCTCTGACACTCGGAGCCTACCAAACATATCCAACATTCTAACTTTGTAAACTTAACCAAACGCAAAACTGTTAAACTAGCAACTGAGCTCTGGTAAAACAAACAACATGCTCTTTCCGTAAAAAGAAAACAAAGAAACGCTGCGGAAAAAGAACGAAGCAGTCTGTAATTACCGGCCACACGTGCTGGTACGAGTTGCCGTCGCTCCTCCACATCAGATTGGCCACCTTCCGGAACAGGCTCATCTCCTCCTCCTCCGGCGCCACCGCGGCGCCAACCAGCGACAGCCCCCGGTCGGCAGCGACGGCGGCCGCCGCCGCTGCCGCGAACGCGATGGCCAGCGCGGCCGCGGCGTGGCACTTCCTCCCCATTGCTTGTCGGCAACTGTGCAGTTCCCAAGAACCGAAAAGAATCCAAGGAAGATTGGAAGGTCGGCTTTTGGTAATTGAAGGCGTTCTGGTGGTTTCGGGGCTGGGAGACGTGCAAAGGGCGCAACTTTTCTGGGATCCCAGGTGGTCTTCTTGGAAGATTGGAGTGCACAGGACGAGGAAATTAAATAAAATAAAACTGCAGAAATGGCGGCGGCGATTGTTCAGAGCGGAAGGGGACCTGCAGCAAGTGGAAAGAGGGAGATGCAAATTGGCAATTGCAATGGGGGAGAGGAATTGGGATGTGTGTGCAAGGGAGGGATAGAGAGAGCGAGCGGCAGGGAACGTGTGAGCTGTGGCTGTAGAAGACGGGAAGGCAGTGCCAAATTTAGAAGATCGACCTTTTTGTGTGTTTGGCCCCCGTACACTCTCATTTTTCTACAGAGCTCGGTGCTGTGCTGCTGCTTCTTTTCTTTTCCCCCCTTTTATTACGTGGTTGCAGAGGTTTTGTTTTCTTGTTTGGGTGTTTTCCACTTGCAGAGACGGCGGCAAACATGTCATGTCATACTTTTTTTTAATGATATGTCATGTTATACAGAGCAAAATACTCTACTCCACTTAAAATCTTTCTCAGATAAATTATTCTGGCTCTGCTCGCTGCAGCTATGGATGCAGCAGCTCCATGGCTGTACAGTTGCAAGCTAGAGCCGCCGCAAATAACAAGGTGTGTTTGATCCCTAAGCTAAAGTTTAGCCTCACATCAGAATATCTGAATGCTAATTAGGAAGATTAAATATAAGCTAATTATAAAACTAATTACAAAAGCCGTGGCTAATTCGCGAGATGAATCTATTAAGCCTAATTAATTCATCATTATCACATATTAAATGTAACACCATATTATCAAATCATAGACTAATTAGGCTTAATAGATTCGTCTCGTGAATTAGTTCTCATTTATGTAATTAGTTTTATAATTAATCTATATTTAATACTTATAATTAATATCAAACATCCGTGGCTAAACTTTAGCCCTATTGGATCCAAACGGGGCGTAACTTGTGTCACGTTTGGAAGGTCATTAACGTAACAGCAAAGTTAATGATCCACCCCCACTGTCACTGTGTAGATTACTGCCTGCAGGCATAGGTCGAATGAATACAATATTGCAGCTTGGGGTGTCCAACTTGATGATAATATATACTTACCATTTCAAATTCCATAGGAATGGTATGACTTTGATTTGAAAAATCATACCATGTCAGGTCCTCTCACAAATTTACTCTTTTATTAAGCAACATCAGATCACAGTTGGTTTATATAATAGTAAAAGGTTTGCGCTCAAACTTCAACTAACAAGGCTGGGGGTCCAAACATTCATATCACAATTGTTTATAAATAAATGTTCCCCACCAAATTTCCAGGAGGCATGGCGTGTTGGGATTTGCCTGGTTATTATATACTCCATTCGTTCCAAATTATAAGTCGTTTCGACTTTTTTTGTTCATCTATTTTACTATGTTTCTAGACATATTATTATATCTAAATACATAGCAAAAATAGATGTAAAAAAAAAGTAAAAGCGACTTCTAATTTGAAACGGAGAGAGTATTATTATTATGGCAGTCCCAATAGTAGAAACCACAGATAGTTTCTATGCTTATTAATTCATGTAGACACTACACATAAAAACTATGTTCACAATGGATAGTTTCTACATAATAATTTTTTGTCCAATTACATGTCTTCTCTCTTCATTATCTACCAATTACATCTCTTCGTGTCTTAATTCTCGTGTAGACATGGTTTATTCTCTAAGAAACCATTTCATCGTCTCTCTTCTTAAGTTGCTGTTTCACGTCATCTTTTTGCTTAGTTGACACCCTAATTAATGAAGATAGAAACCATTTAGCTAGTTTCTTGGTTGTGCCTTATGTATTAAAAATGCGTGTAGGATACACTTCCATTTAGCTGAAACAATATTCTGAGAAATACATAACTCATACGTAATCGATATCAACTTCATGTTATAAATCTAACATTAAAAACTACAAGAGGTGGAAAGTAGCATTTTAACAGAAATTTTACAGTATTGGGCCACTTGCCTTCTTAGGTAAATGCATACATACAAGGAAAAATTATTTCTGCGCATTGTCAAAAGGGATTAGAAAAATAGTGAAACTAATATTTGTGAACATAGCCATTTTTAATGATAAACTAAAATGCCATGTTGTTTTTCTTTCTGTCCTCTTGTAAAATTAAAAAAAAGGGTTTTCATTTCCCGAGACATACTTTGAGCTACAGGTATAGTGGAGAATCTATAGCTACTGCTGCATTTTTTGGACCCGTGAAGAATATATAAACAAAACGTTCCCCTTTTTCAAGAAAAAAAAAACAAAAGCTTCTTTTGGTGCTCTCCTTCGTTGAGGACAATGAACCTAGCTTCCTCGTCATCGTCGATGGCTGCTTGCCAGTATGCATTGCCACATTGTCATGATCATCCCCTCGTACCTCATGGAATGCAGGCTTCATGCCACAAGGCCCACAAATATTGGACCCGTGGTCCTCTTATATATATATATATATATATATATATATATATATATATATATATATATATATATATATATATATATATATATATATATATATATATATATATGTATGTGTGTGTGTGTGTGTGTGTGTGTGTGTGTGTGTGTGTGTGTGTGTGTGTGTGTGTGTGTGTGTGTGTGTGTGATCAATCTTTTTTCAACCACGCAAATTTCATTTTTAATTTGGTCGGGCAAACTTGCAATATTTGATGTCCTTTTCGTGGAGGTTGGTCTGGTTGATTGTTGAGGGCTAATGCCATGTTTAATAACATGGTATGGACTAGTAATCATTTTCGTCACATAATTTAACAAATTGGATATAGTTCAGTTGATCGTGAAATAATCATGATTTTAGAAGCCTTAAACTGGTATTTCATTGAAGTATTACACAAGTAACCCAGAACTAATGAAACTACTTAAAGGCCCTTGTGATCATCAGAAGATACACCTAATTAATCACCCTGTTTTATTTGGTCTCGGCACAAGTTCACGGGGCGTGGTCCTGCATTTTTGTTTTGTTTATATATATACACACACTCTCTCTCTCTCATGTAGTGAGGATGCAGATGGAATTTTCCTTGGTCCCCATCTTTTTGGCAATTGTATAAGTATAATAGATATGCTGCACTGCATCTCTAGTTCACTACGTACCCATCTGGTAAGGGCACCACCAAATACACATGACGATACTAGTAGTAGTATAGACAGTAATCCTATATACCAAATACACATGACAAGGTGACCTAACACGCCTTAATTTTTTTTACTTTTGTGTTGTAAAAAAAAAAACTCGTTGGGTTGAGGTTTGGCGTGCAGAACTTGCATTGTTCAAGTAAACCCAAGTGAAAAAAAAGGAAGGCGCTGTTGAACAGGATCTGCGCTGGAAACATATAGCGCGTCAAAGTCGTCAACCGATTAATAACTCACTCTTCATATTCTTTTGATTTGATTTAATTTGATGATCGACCAAAAGTAACAAGGACGGATTATTGGAACAGTGTGCTGCCAACAACGATTAACGGCGGCGGTGGGAATTGAAAGGAGAGGACGACGACACGACGCGACACGTACCGGTCGGGATCTGGAATGTGACAAGCAGCAATGTCTCGTTTCGCCGGTAGGTATTTGGTGAAGGATGCGACAATCGTCTGCTCGTTGTCTTATAAGTCGTATTTTTTTAGTTAATGAATAATATTTTTTTTATAATAAATTAATCAACAGTGTTTTTAGTCGTGCCTTATCAGAGGACAAATCTTTTTTTTTTCCCCACGTCTTTGCAAATCACGAGAGCACGGAAGTGGCCACCCGGTTCCGGGATGGGTCACGACAGTGCTAGCTGTTTTGTGGTTTTGGTAGGATCCCGGACGGACGCGCATATAATTCGGCTCCGGCGGTACACCCTACCCTAACCGGTGGCCAGCAGCTTGCCGCGTCGTCCTTTAATTTGTATCACAGTACTTCTCTAGCTACACAATTCAATGGGCTAGTTAAAACGAAAGCTAGTTTTGTTGTCATGTCTCTCCTACGCTGCTCTGTTCAAAGCTAGCTTCAAAATGTTGGAGTAATCATTAGGACCGAACTACAAAGACTTGAAAGTGACAACCATTTCATTAAAGAAAACATGCATGTACTACTAAAGCGCCCCGACATCTATCGTGAATGAATGGATGGGAGGATTAGCTTTACTACAGCCGCTTTTCACCCCTTTTCTGGGTGAGATATATCATAACATGCATGTACTACTAAAGCGCCCCGACATCTATCGTGAATGGATGGATGGGAGGATTAGCTCTACTACAGCCGCTTTTGACCCTTTTTTGGGTGAGATATATCATATATGAAACTGACAATCAATGAACAACTCTACTGTAGAACTGACCTTCGTTACTAGCATATCATTACCGGTTACTTTCAAACCGGCAATTATAACCCTTCACTACCCGTTCATAACTTGAAAATACCAAAATGATCGGGGCTCCTAAAGAATCGACAGTAAAAGTCTCTATCACTATAAGTTTAAGCCTTCATCTGGTAGTGATACTGAGACTAAGACTATTACTGGCGATTGGTGGCTTAAACCGGCAGTGACATTTCTCTGCCGGCTCGTGGCTATAGCCGACAGTGAAAGAGATCCTATCACTACTGTCTAATGGCTTGTGGTTTGAAACGGTAGTAATAGCTGCACAGTATAAAACCATCCTTCATCCTCCCTCCCATCTCGAGCACACCTTCGAGGAGGCGCCTTTTTCCACCTATGAGGACCGGCAATCTCGAGATTGATGAAGTCACCAAAGCCGCTTTGCTGTCGAGGGGCACGTCGCTATCACTGAAAATTTTGTTTAAATCTGAGATATGCCACCTACCATTGACGTGCCGACCACTGAAAGAATAGCGTTGGTAACTCCTAAA